CCATGTAGCCTTGCAACTCATAACTGAATTAATTACAACACTTGGGGCTAAGCCTAAGTTTACTATGACTCAAGGAGTCATCAGGTTTGAGGAGAAGATTTTTGTAAGCAGAGGTGCTAACTTAAGGCTTAAGATCTTTGAAGCCTTACATTTATCCCCTCTAGGAGGACATTCTGGGAAGCAGGGAACTTACAAAAGGGTTCAATCTATCTTCTACTGGCCTAATATGAAGATTGATATATTGAAATGGGTGTCTAAATGTGATACCTATCAAAGGGTTAAAACTGAGAATGTGCATCCTGTAAGGCTTCTGCAACATCTCCATATTCCTGAGTTTTCATGGCAAGACATAGTTATGGATTTCATTGAAGGACTTCTTTCCTCAAGCCAAAAGAATGTTATCTTAGTGGTTGTTGATAGATTAACCAAATATGGTTATTTTCTAGCCTTAAAACACCCTTATACAGCCAAGGATGTGGCTAATATTTTTCCGAAGGAGGTCTATAAGCTTTATGGTCTTCCTAAGAAATTGTATCAGACAGGGATCCTATCTTCACCAATCATTTTTGGCAGCCCTTGTTCAAGACTATGGGTACTAAACTCACAATGTCCACTGCTTATCATCCACAAATGAATGGTCATGCTGAAAAACATAATCGATGTCTAGAATCCTATCTCAGGTCTATGGAATTTTCTGAACTTAAATAGTGGGTTACATGGATTCCATTGGCTGAGTGGTGGTATAACACCAACCATCATAGTTCTTTACAAACTACACCTTTTCAGGATCTTTATGGGTTTGCCCCTCCCCATATACCATTGGGTTCCCTTACTCACTCAACAGTCACAGGCGGGTGCATGCATCACACAGAGGCAACAAATGTTACATCAGTTTAAGGAGAATTTAGTGCAGGTCCAGGCCCGCATGAATTTAAATCTATGTGGTAAGTACTACGGGCCCTATACAGTACTTAAAAGAGTGGGAACAGTCGCTTACTAGCTAGATCTGCCTCTGAGGTCTCAGATCTATCCCGTATTCCACATTTCCCTGTTGAAACGATGCGTTGGACCAACGATCGTGCCCAGCCATCAACCCCCAATAAGTGACGGTGATGGTCGTGTCCTCATGCAACCACTAGCCATTTTGAAATGCCGGATGGTGAAATTCAATAATGCTGTTGTGGTGAAGGTGTTGGTTCAGTGGACTAATCTAAGTGTCAACGAAGCAACTTGGGAGGACTGGGTATATTAAGGATTAGTTTCTGGCATTTGCAGCTCAGTTCTGACCTTGAGGACAAGGTCGATTTCAACGAGGAGGTATTGTTAGGTTTGGGGACGGCTTTTTGAAGACAAAACGAATGAGAAGGATTAGGGTAAATAAGGATAGATACAAGGAGACACTTGGCAGCAGGAGATGGTAGCTTAATAAGAGATCGACGGACTAGATGTATTAGATCCAATGGTGCAGATAATTAGAGTTAGTTAGGACATTGGGTTGCTTATAACAAAATTGGATTGGGCCCAACATAATGAGTTTTGGACTGATAATTCTTTCCTCTCTTCTCAACACTCTCTCTCACTTTCATCTCTCTTCTCTCTTCTCTCTTCTCTATTTCTTCTTCTCTTACCCATCTTAATTCTTCTTTCAGGTTGTGAATCCATCAATGGAGTTGCAGATTAGTTTCAACTCAATTTATAATTCTCATTGTAACTGAGTTGACGAGATAAATAAAATCCTTTGTTCGTTCATTTCTAAAATAATTCCTTAGTTTACATTTTAATTTTGCAAGTTCATTACAACTCTTATCTAATTCATTACTCAAAACAGGGTAGAGAAGAACTTAACAGGGTGCAGCATAGTGAATATACCAGATGGCTTGGAATCTAGGAGAATCAGTTCAAGCAAAAATCTTAGGTTAAGTTGTTTGAGGAAGGAAATAGCAAACAAAAATATTTTCATGTAACGGTCAAAGACATAAAGATAAAGCTAAACAATTTACAAAGTCAAAAACAATAGTGATAGAAGGTTCATGGCAATGAGAAAGTATCAGAGGATGCTGCAAGACATTTAAAAAGCTATTTAATCTTCAAAAAATGAGAATATCCTGGATTATATTTCCCATTGCATCACTGATGAAGATAATTACAATCCTTGAAAAAAATGAAATCAAGATAGCACATTCTCCACTGCATCACTGATAAAGACAATAACAACCTAACTTTTATCCTTGAAGAAAATAAAATTAAGATAGTCGTTTTTAGTATGTCCCCATACAATTCTACTGGACCTTATGGATACAGTGGTATTCTATCAATCTTGTTGGGAGATAACATTGTTGTTGTTCAATTATTTTTCAATGGAGGAAATTTACTAAGTTCTTTTCTTTGAAATGTTTAGTCCTAATCCCAAAAGTTGAGTCACCAAACACTTTCTCATAGAAGAGGCCTATTAGTTTAACCAATTTGTCAAGCAAAGATCATCTCTAAGTAGATCCTCTCTTGTACAAACTGGTCTCTGATAGTCAAAATAGATTCATCAAAGATGGATTTATCACTGAGAATATCCTTTTGGCCCAGGAGATTACGTAGGATACTACTAAGTATAATAGGGGGCAACATAATTATCAAGCTAGACATGGCTAAGACATATGACAGGATCTCAAGAGTCTTTCTTGTCTCGGTTTTTGACAAATATGGATTAATTAGATTTGGAGACTTGTCCCAGGGATGTGGTACTTTATTGTCAAAAATGAATTCTTCTCTTCATCCCAAGGTTTAAAGCCAGGTAACCCTCTCTCTCCATCCTTATTTATCCATTGGGTTGTAGTACTCTCTAGTATGCTTAATAATTTATGTCACAATTCTAATTTTTCTCTTTTCACTCTGAACCCTAGATGATCTCAAATTAATCGTCTTGCTTATACAAATGATATCACTATTTTCATAGGAAAAAACATCAAATCCATTAGAATAGTTATGAAGCAAATCAAAGAGTATGAATCAGCCTCTGGTCAACTGGTTAATTGTGCAAGAGCTTCTTTATTACAATCTCCAAGACCAGTGCTAACAGAACAATAGGATAAGGAAAGTAACAGACTTCATGGATAAAGAACTTTCCTTCACCTACTTAGGTTGTCTTTTTCTCCTATCCTTACCTATTTACACCTTGTCTTCTATGATCACCCCTAAGGGAACTCTCTATCACGTTGAAAAACACTGCAATATCTTCTTATGGGATTCCTCTAGGAACAATGCTAATTATCATAGGGGTTCCTAGAATAAATTACTAAAGGAGGAGGGTGGTATTGACATGAGAAATAGAGAGAAGATCAGGAGAGGTTTAGGACTATTCCTTCTCACTATAAGAAATTGAGGATACGCGACATTTATTTAGTGACTATTGAAATAAATATCGGAAAATTTCCTTTTTTTGACATTTATTACAAAATATCGTAAAAACTACGACATTTAATATTAATTGTCGTAGAAACAATGACATTTGATACTAAATGTCGTAAAAAAATGACATTTGATAGGAAATATCATTAAAACAACGACATTTGATACAAAATATCGTCAACATAATGACATTTTTTAAGAAATGTCGTAAAAAGTACGACATTTGCTACAAAATATCGTAAAAATTATACATTTGATACAAAATGTCGTAAAAAGGACGATATTTGGTATAAAATATCATAAAAACAATGACATTTGGGCCAAACTGCAGTAAAAATACGACACATACTTTAAATGTCATTTGGTGTAGTTTGATACAAATGACATTTGGTGTAGTTTGATACAAATGACAAAAAAATATGACCTTACTTTAAATGTCATATTATTTGTCGGTAATTACGAATATTTACATCTATAATTGGAAATTTCTCTATATTTTCTAAATTTTAAATCATTCTTTGTCTTAAAAAAAATTATCACGCCCTTTATATTTAATATTTAATTTGTTAAAATATTATGATAATTACCTACAATATAGACGATTTCTCTTCTTGTTGCTTAATATTTTAAAAGGCTCGTCCAGGACTAGCTCTTGGGCGAGGCATTTGCACAATGCCTTGAGGCGGCTCAAGTGTAGGGCTTAATTTGTGAGGCTTACATGCATCCCAAGCGTAAGATTATGCGCCCTACACGCCTATCGCTCAGCGTTCGGGCTCGCTCAATAAGTACTAGGTAAATCATCTGTTAAATTTTCTAATTAATAGTGTTGACCCTCAAACTACATTAACAAATGAATGATCTTAACTCAAATAACGAGTCATAGTATTGTATATTTACTAAGTGAGAATATCGTGAGGGTTAATATTATTTGAACATTTTCTCTGAATATATAGATAGCCGAACTGTATATCTTCACTCGCTATTGATTTTTATTTCTTAGTTTTTTGTCTACCAAAAGAGACTTTAATACTTTGTATTTATTTCTGAAGGAGTAATATTTTGAATTATAATATTGATAAAGNCCCACGTCATATGCCCCGTCTTTTAAAATATTTTGCCGATTTAAAACTAAAATATAAAAAAACTAAAATTTTACTTTCATCTATTCTCTAAGTCCATCAATTAACTCTAAGCAAATAAGAAGACATTTCTAATGATTAAATTTATTCTTTTATGTGCAGTTTTCTCTCTCTAAGTTAATATTTGCTGGTTTTGGACAAAAACTTTTGTCAATAAACGTTTTTAGTTTTGTATTTTTGAGTACTTCAATTAAGAATATTATAGTCTATGACTCTATGGACTTGTTAGTATTCAAATCGAATAAACCGAAGTTACCGAACCGAATAAACCGAAACCGAAAGGAGAAAAATCGAACCATACCGAATTTAATTAGGTATGGTATTGGTATAGCATTTTAAGAAACTGAATACCGAAAATACCAAACCGAAATATCTAAATACCGTACCGTACCGACCGACGAACCCCCTACTTAGTCGTAGCCTTAGAAGCACCTCAGGACCCATCCCCTCTCTTCTCTCAATCTAAAATCAATTTTGGCTAAAAATCTCAAATTGGATTTCGCCAAAATTTCTCAAGTCCGCTCCCTCCACCCCAAGACTCAAAAGGAGCTATGTATGGAGAGTATTGGAGATTTAGAAGTAAAAGATTTTGGCGGTAAGAATTTTGTTTCCCTCCTAATTCTAAAAAATATAGTTTTCCTTCCTTAGTTTGAATTCTACAAAAAACCTAATTTTTTGCATTCCACTGTGCTATAATAGATACTTGGAGACGAAAATCGCTGAGGCTTTTGCTGCTGCTGAGGCTTTTGCTGCTGCTGAGATTCACAAAGCTTGTTTTCTACAAATTCAAGGTACCCAATTTAGTTAACAGATATCTTTCTTTTTCTTAGTTGTTCGGATTTGGGTTAACAGATTTCTTTCTTTTTCTTAATTGTTCGGATTTGGGTTAACAATTTTCTCTTTTAGGTATTGATTGGTAGATTGATTTTGATTTTTTTGGTGTATTTCTGGGTGTTCGTTGTTTAGTACATTTATAAAGTTGGATATAAGATTTTTATTATTTAGTGGTAGATAATGCTTAGAGTTCAATTAGATTATTGGTTTCTTGGTGATTAAAGGATTAATTATTGTATAGTAACTAATTGGTTATTCTTTTTGTTGTCTGCTTTGGTTGAAAAAATTGGATCTTGCATTTTTTTTTTTTGTGTGTGAGAGAGAAAGTTTGGTGTTAATCTTTGTGAGGAGTACCTCATTTTGCTACTTTTAATAAATATATTAATATTAATTTTTATCAAGTAAAAGTTTCTGCTGTCTACACAGTTGTGTTAGTTTATACAAAATATCTTTTAGATATTGATTATTAGATTGGTTTTGATTTGGTTTTGATTTTTTGGGGTAATTATAGTTTAATCCATTTCTAAAGATTTCATTATTTAGTGATAGATTGTGCTTAGAGTTTAATTAGATTCTGGTATCTTGATTATCGGATACTTTGTTCATTTTATTGAGTTTGCGGGTTGATTCCCTATTCGATAATAGTACTAGTTTGATATTATTTTATACGTCTGGATAGTAGAAAATATTTTTTAATTTTGCATGAACTATAGTTTTTGAACAACTTTGTTGTGATGGCAAGAAAAAGACAGAGAAATTCCAGTCAAGAAATGCTTCTGCCTGATTTTTTCGGAGCAACAAGAAGAACAAATGGGAGGTGCGGCGATGCCTCAACCACCTCAAAACTGGCCACAAAATGAAGGACAAGCTATCCAATCTGGTAAATCAAGAAATGATTCACATGAAACAGAAAATACCCTAGGTACTTATTGAATAGTTACACTTTGTGTATTTGTACACTTTTTTCCAAGCAACTAAGTAGACCTAAATATAAAATATCAACTCAAGCAAATCCACCAAGAGTACTTGTACCTTGACCGCTCATTTCTATCATTGTTCCTAAAACAATATACTTATAAGTCCTCCACAGAAGCATAGACACCACTTAAACATACAAATAGTATCATGAATGTGGAGACACCTATATTCTGTTCTTATGAAGGTAGCACCTGCTTTGCTATTAGAAGCTATCTTCTGCAGTACATTGGCCAATTACACTTAGCTCTTCATATACAAATTGAAAACATGAGACAGATTGTGAGCACAACAACATTATCGCTAAGATATGTTTAATGGATGTAGCTGAGGCATCTAATAGTCTAGCAGATACGTTCTCCAAGAAAGAATTCATATCACTATACCTACCTGTATTGATGTAGTTTCTTTTCCCAAAAATATATATATGCTTCATTTCTGGCAGTTTTTCCTCTATCACTCTATTATTCTAATCCCTTGGTATTAATGGAGTGTTTATATGTGAATTTTTAAAAAAGGAAAATAAGAATTAATTGAGTTTTACTAGTTATGGATGACTCTCTTTTTTATATTTGGTTATTGTGGACTCTAGTGCTAATGAAGAGCAATCTAAGCGACCTAGGGGTCCTACTATGATGCACTCAGGATGGGGAAAAGATGGTGGCATTTTACATGTTGAGTTGAATAATCTTAGTCAAACTATTGGACCTGATGCAGCTAGATTGAGTTAAAAACTTGGAGTCATAGCACGAAATGGAATTTTAGCTCCTTTAAATCATAAAGATTGGAGGCTTGTGCCTAAACTGTACAAGAATAGGATATGGGCTCATATTAAGGTGCTTAGAAAATTAAAGAAAAAGGTTATATATTAAGATGTTTATTGATTTTATGCTTTTATACATGTGTTATATGTTGATGTTTGCAGGAAAATACTGATACAGCTGAGGATATGAGACGTATGTTGATGATATCGGTTGGATCTAAATGGAAAGAATGGAAGCATGAAGCAAAAATAATTGGTTATGAGCCATACAACAACGATATCGAGCGCTTAGCTAAACGTCCAGACAGGGTAGAAGAAGACCAGTGGCTTGCATTAGTTCATTATTGGAGCTCTAATGAAGCAAAGGTATTCTCCGAGCATCAAGCATCTTCTTCTCTTGCCCTTAGCACATGCTATTAGCGCATTCCGTATGCGGATCATACTTTTTCCTTTAAATATTTTTATGTTTTTCCTCTGTAATTCTTCTTACCTTTTCTCTTTTTTCTTTTAAAAGTTTTATTCTTTGATATGATGTTTGGCCATGAATTATCTCTAATATATAAAATTATATGTAACTTTGCAAAACTTATATAACATTCATTAGTTTTCATCTCAGTATACCATTTACGGAAACTAATATTTCAGAATTCAACCCTCCCCTCTCCCACCATGTTTCTGCCTCAGTCTCAACGAAAAATAAAAACTAAAAGAGTAGGGAATAGTTTTCTTAAGTGCAAGATGAATTGAGAATAGCTGAACATTTTCTTTTCCTTGGTAAAGGGTGAAATTGTTGTTTGTATTCAGAGGCGGATGCAGTGTACTGCCTACGGGTTCAGCTGAACCCATAACTTTCGATGCGGAGTAAGAATTTGTATTTAAAAATTCATTAAAATTGTAAAAATAGTAGATATGAACCCATAACTTTCGATGCGGAGTAAGAATTTGTATTTAAAAATTCATTAAAATTGTAAAAATAGTAGATATGAACCCATAACTTTCGATGCGGAGTAAGAATTTGTATTTAAAAATTCATTAAAATTGTAAAAATAGTAGATATGAACCCATAACTTTCGATGCGGAGTAAGAATTTGTATTTAAAAATTCATTAAAATTGTAAAAATAGTAGATATGAACCCATAACTTTCGATGCGGAGTAAGAATTTGTATTTAAAAATTCATTAAAATTGTAAAAATAGTAGATATGAACCCATAACTTTAAAAATATAATGGGTTCAATGTTAAAAACCTTAAATTTGAACCCATAAGATTTAAATCCTGGATCCGCCTCTGTTTGTATTGAACACCATTTTTGTAGTACAGAATCAATGCTGAACTCTGATATGAAAGTGCATTATTGATTATTGATATAACATTTGTTGCAAAAAAATTCATTATTATCGTAGAGGTAAATAGATTCTCCTACGTGAGCTATCTCATTTAGATTTTGTTTCAACCTTTCTTGGGCAGGTAGCTTTATGTGTGCTTACTTGTATTTAGCTTTTTAGGCCTGATCGTGTTTATATTTATTTAAATCTTGCAGAACCTCCATCGGGTGGAGTTATATTTTCTCCCTTCCTCTCACATCCCCCCACAACTAAAAAAATATCATCAATTGCATTATGATATTACAATATTTCAGTTATTGTTCGGTTTGGGCGGTTGCTTTCACTTTCTTGGATTTTTTGCTTTATGTTGTCCGTTTCTTTCTCTCTTCAGTTGCTAGTATTACATTCATTATCAATTTGTTTCTCTTTTAGAACATGAATCTGTTATTATTTTTGGTATTCTAATTGTTTTAGAGGAGGAAAGAATTCACTTTATTATAAAGGTATAATTCTTTTTTTTTTCTTGTGACTTCTTGTGCAGCATTCTTGAAGGAAGTGATGTCAATTACTGGCAGTGAAAAGCTTGACTTGTGGAGAGTTGGTTTTATAAGATTTAGTCTAGAAGTTGAGGAAAATTAATTCGAATTAGGAGTGATCTTAAAGTACTTACACATTGAAATTACTATCTTTTATGATTTAGTTAGATTTGAATTTTACGTGAGAATAAATCATTTGATTTGACATTATCTATCTTGTACTAAGTACGTTTTATATTGCTACTTTGTTCTTTGGTTACTGTGCTAAAAGATATTTGCTTTACATTTATTTTATGTTTGTTATAAAAGTTGACATTTGAGAATGTAAATGTGTTCATGATGAAACTAAACAGAGCATTATTATTTACATTTTAAAAAATATGATACCGACATTAATTTAAATGTCAAACATTTAATGCGATATTTTGCTATGTTGTAAAAGATATGTCACTATTTTTTTTAATGACATTCACATAAAGTGGAAACGACATTTTATATATGTTGTGAATTTTCTTAGCAACATTTACCAAAATGTCGGAAATTTCAATACGACATTTTGTGAAGATCATACGTAAATGTCGTATTTCTTTAGTAACATTAATCTAATTGTCGAAAATTTTAAGTGACATTTCCTATATGTTGTAAACTAAATGTCGTAATATTCTTACCGATATTTACCTAAATATCGTAAATTAAATGTCATAAATTTCTTATTGACATTTACCTAAATGTTGCAAAGTAAGTATCGTAAATTTCTTATCGACATTTACCTAAATGTTGTAAAATAAGTATCATAATTTCTTATTGACATTTACCTAAATGTCGTAAAGTAAGTGTCATAATTTCTTACCGACATTTACCTAAATGTCGGAAAATTACCGATATTGAAATTAACGACATTTGATGCAAATATAAATTAAATGTCGGTAAATAAATTTGTGACATTTAAACAGCTTAATACGACATTTATTAAATGTCGTCATATCTCCTGAAAGATAAATATTGCTAGATATTATATGTTGTGGCTAGGATTGAAGCTTCTCCTAACTCACAAATGATGAACATTAAGGTTAAATTAGAACATAAGATCAATTGGCGTATTTAAGCTGGAAATAGTAACTTTTGGTGGGATAATTGGACTAGCAAGGGTGCACTTGCTAGACTATTTCCAAACAATTGTATCTTCTCTAGAACTTCTGTTAGTGATTTCATTAATAATAGAGAATGCGATACTGCCAAGTTGACTAAAATATTAACTCCTCAAATGGTCCAACACGTTAGAAAATATTTCTATTGGAGACAATAGAAAAAAGACTATGCAATTTGAAACCTCAATGTAGATGGTCACTACTTCAATAAAACAGCATAATATCTTATCAGAGTTCATAGACAGAAGACCAACAACACTAGCAAGGTATGGCATTCTTCCCTTCCATTTAAATTTTCCTTTTTTTTCATGAAAATTTGTGCAAGGCAAAGTTCTTTTTATGAGATCATTACTCGATTTGAAAATCAATTACCCTCAAGATGTAAATACTGCTCCATACCTCATTGTGAGAGTATTCAAGGGAGAGCTTCTAATATTATCTGGAAACTCTTTCGGAGTCCATTGGTTGGCATACACCTACAAGGGTCTGTAAGGTAGGTTTTACAAAACTGGTGGACTGTAAAGCAAAAAAATATGATACACAAACTCCTTCTACATATTGTTCCCATTGTTATTAATTAGGAGATTTGGAAGAGCAGCTCTGCCTGCAAATATGATGATCAAAAAATATTTTATCCATTCCCAAGGTGCAACTCGAACATACCTTGGAGCAGAGCATGTGACACAATTGAGAGAATGAGACCAATATCAAACTGGAAGCTGGTTTTATGAAAAAGACCTACTGCTGGGAGAGTGAAGTTTAATACAGATGGGAGTTTTAAAATTGAAGGGCAGGCATAGATGGTATTATAAGAGATGATAATGGGAACATTATAATCGTGCATTCGTTGTTACAGTTAAATGCGACAGTAACAATATGGCTGAAGCTCTAGCAATACGCTTGGTTTTACAAATCTGGACTTGAAACTAGACTCACAATGCTTCAAGACAAATCTACCAACTAGTGGGGTGAGTCAGGCCTAGCCCCCCTCTGTAATCTTGTGCAAAGATTTATAAGGGCTACGACGACATTTAATAATTTACGACATTTATTTCACGACACTTTTTGAAACGTCACGTTAAATTTTTTTACATTTAATATACTGTCGGTAAATAAATAGTTTATAGCTTATTCTGTTTACGACATTTAGAAGTGTCGGGAAATTTGAGTGGCTGGTGACACTTATGCAACACATCCATTAATGTCAAAATTAAAATACTCATTGATGTTTTTGCAAAATATCCTGTAATGTAGAAACTAAAATTTTGTTTCGTTCACAGGAAAGCATAACCACCAAAGTTCAAATTATAGAAAACAAAAGATCTCTATAATTCATTCCAAGAATAAAATTGTGAAGCTATTCATCTTTACAATTAAACAATGCTGGATTCAAACTAATATTGGGACAAGAGATCTCTTCACTTCTTCTACTCTTTTTTCCATTCCTTATGCTATTTTTTTTAAGGAGCTTCCTCTCCAAGTCGCTTGTGTACCTGCCTATTTGATAATCTCCTGAATTGAGAGAACAAGATTGTCTGACATAATAATCAAATGATAGCTAATACCACTAACTATTGCAGAATTCTAACTTTAAGTAATAAATTCCTTGGAAGAACATAAAGGAAATTGGAAACTCTATAAACTAGCAGTAGGATTTAATTGAAGATAACAACTATTCGCTTAAGTTGTTGCATGTTATCATAGCCCAATACTTATCTTTCTAAGTGAATTATCTCCTATTCAAGATAATATAACAAATGAAACTAACTCATAAAATCCACATAAAAACTGCAAAAATCAATTACATACTATTTTGTCTAAAAGAAATCAAGGAGAATACCAATATTATCATTGATTTGACAGAGATACACAATAGTTCAAATGTTAAACAAGTTGGTAAAAGTTGGTGGAGTATTGAATTTGGTGATATTGGAATCAACAATCCTAACCTTAGCAACCACTGTTAAGGAGCACACTATAATCACTCAGCAGAAGTTAATAATACAAGAAATAAACATGGAGCCCCAAGATCAGCATGCATCTAAATTGAGCTCTATGTAGTGCAAACCCTGCGAGAAACAAAACACGTTTGAATGAGACATACTTGATATACCATATATCAGTATACAAAAAATACAAAATATAACTTAAAAATATATATATTTTTAGAACAAGACCAAATAGAGGTAAAACTAAAAATACATGCATAGCCAATTTCATCTAAACTCCATTATCAAGCAAAACTGTTTGTTCATCAGCTTGCCAAATGCCAAGTATGATCACAGAATATTTGTATCCTACTTGAAACCAGTGTCAGAATTGAAATAAGCGTTACCTCATATCCACATTCCCCCTTCCAAGAAATTGACACCAATGATAAATCTTTGCACTGGACTAGACCTATTAGCCAACAATCAACCATTTGAATATCTTTCAATGAAAAACCTGACAATATTCATTACTCTCCATTATAGTTAGACAATAAATTCCTTACTCAAGCAAGATGGAAAATCAAACAAAATTTAACTTAATGCTTTATCAAAAATAAAATGAAATTTACTTAGAAAACCAAGAAAAAAATCGTTACCTTCCACCAAGCACTCCAAACTAGTATATCGTATGACGATATGAAAGCGCTGCATAAAAGTAGCAAATATTTCAATAAAACACCAATTTTTGGTAGAAAAAGAAAATCATCAAAGCTACACACTATAAAAACTTAAAATTACTAAACTTAATTGTATAATTATCAATAAACGAAGATGTGTGAATAATAATCACGATGATACCCGATTGTAGCAGAGAAAGAGAGATCGAAAGACTTCATATTCGAATCAGTGAAAATAGACAGAATTCTTCTCTTAACATTACTAGAATTCGGTAAAAACCGACCAACGTTGGTCGGTAATGGCCAAAAACCGACAAAAACGCGACCATTTACGTATGGACGGTATTTTTGTGGTCGGAAAGGCATACCGACCAAAGTTGGTCGGAAATTACCGACCAACTTTGGTCGGTCAATTAAATTAAAAAAAAAATATTGCAAAAAAAACCGACCAAAGTTGGTCGGTATTTTAATTGTGTAATAAAAAGATTCACCATCTGGGAATCGAACCGGGGTTTGTACTATGGCAGGATATTATTCTACCACTAGATCATTGGTACATTTTGTTTTAAGACTATCTTTTATTTGATTTATACTCTTTAATTGTATTTTCGCACGAAAATAACCGACCAAAGTTGGTCGGTTTTATTAAAAAGTAAAATTACCGACCAAAGTTGGTCGGTTTTTTTAATGACCGGTCGAATTAACCGACCAATTTTGGTCGGTTTTTTTAATATTAATTTTTATTTATTTTAATTAAAAAACCGACCAAAGTTGGTCGGTTTCTTGAAACATAAATTTCGCGGGACTCAAAAATAGTTTCCCGCATTTTTGCGCCAAAGAAAACCGACCAAAGTTGGTCGGTTTCGTAAAAAAAAAAAAAAAATTTTTTTTTTTGAAAAACCGACCAACTTTGGTCGGTTTTTTGGTCGGTTTTTTGACCGACCAAAGTTGGTCGATCAAAGTTGGTCGGTCGACCTTAGTCGGTTTTTGCCGAATTTCTAGTAGTGTAATTTTAAATAATATATCGTCTGTAGGAATTTGAACTCTACTGATCTCGTCCCAAGTCGCTACTTTGCTTTCTCAATCATTTTCGTCTACCACGGTATCAAAGGCAGAGAAGAAGCAACCGACGGAAAACATTCGAGCCGCTGTAGTAGAGTCAACCTGCAGTGGAGTAAAGTAGACCTAGAAAAATTACATCATTGGAGCAGCCGCTCTGGTTTAATTTATTTGTTTCACATATTAAAAGTTACACATTAGGTAAAAGTTCCCTTCTTTAATTTTAATTGTTCGTAACTGCTTATTAATATTGCGTCATTTAAATCAAAATGTCATAAAATCCTCACGTGTTTTATCAAATGTCATTATATTAGCAATATTTTTTAATAAATGTCACAAAAATAATCAATTTCTGACATTTATTATAAATGTCACTAAATAAATGTGGCTGTAGCCCACTGGGTAATTTA